ATAATATATATACACGGCCTGTGTGTGCGCTTTTCTGCACACATTAATACATGCACTAGAAGGGGAATCGGTGTGTATACGGTCTATTGTCTATTTTTTTGATTTGGGTTTTAATTTGTTTGTCCTTCTGTTGCATTTATTGTAAACTACAGCTGTCCTGATTACCCGGTTTTAATAAATTAAATGTGTTTCACATTTTATTTGGACTTCTCTCTTGGAAATGGACAATAGAAGTGTACAGAATGTAGTTATTGATGGGCTACAAAGGGTCACTTACTCTGAAACTATTGAATGAAGACGCTGTAGCTCAAAGCATTAAAATCATACAAGATTTCTAACCTGTGTTGGAGAAATTACAGAATCTGATTGTTGTGGGTAAAATGTGCATGTTTTTTTTTATAGAATACAGTCTTATTGAACTTCTAATGGCAAAATGTCTGTGAAGGTTCTCATTCATCCAGGTCATGGTATATCTGTAAAAAGTCAGGGCAACTGGACTTGCTGTATTTTTCTTGAAGACGTTTCACTGGTTATCCAACCAGCTTTCTCAAATGTTTTCATTTTCTAATAGCAAAGTATTATTGAATATATGTCAGAATTGTTAAAAAGAAAAAAATAGACAAGAAACTTGCAATTTAAGCACTTCTTACCACTCTGGGCCCATCCCACTAGATATGTTGAGACCCTTTTCCCTGCACCAGCAGAATTTTTGCTTGCACCTATTGAGCAGTTGTGTTGTAACCAACTCAACAAAATGACAGCTGTCGGGTCACATACTGTTTCTGGAAAATAGGGTGTGCCGCGTGTTGCGTACATTATAGAAAATATAGAAGGATTCTTCCCAGCAGCACTGACCTCATCCATTAGGTGGTGCTGTGCACGTGGTGTTCCTGCCATTCAGCCTGGAGGAAGCAGCATCCTGGTGTGTTCCTGCTCTTGGTGCCATGCAGATCTTCCGTCTCCGGCTTGGTTCCACAGACCATGTAAATTGACTTGGTCACCTCCAGGCACCTGAAACACGCATCGGTTACCTGGATATGGGGCCTAGTCACTTACTGCTAGGCTGCAACTAACTAATCGCTAATCGATTATGGGAATAGTTGTTAATCTCATTATTGATTAGTTGGTTGGATCCCCTAGCTCTCTCCTCCACGCTGGGAGGAGGGCACAGCAAGCAGTGGGCGGGTGCAATAGCCAGCGTGCTATTGGCTATTACAATTTGAAATGGCCAATACCAGGCTGGCTTTTGCACCAGCCCACTACCTGCTGTATTTACATTAAGCTGCCGCTGCAGAATCTTGCCACTGGCAGCTGTCATTCCCGGCTGAAGCTATTAAAGCGCCATGTGCTTACAATACATTAATTTTTTCCCATCTGAATTTTTATTGAGAATAAGGAGAGTAACAATAGTACAGAACTGTACTCTACAATTGCGTATAAAATCAGCGTATAAAGTGGTAAAGTGTCGTTCATGAACAGCATAAAAATAAACTCTAAGCATGACACAGTAGGCTAGCTTATTTCGGTATCACTTGGGTACATCTGGAAGTCAGGTTGGCGAGGCTTCAGATGGAGAGTAAGTAATTCCCAGCGCTAAGCTGGTGATGGATACCTCACGTGTGCCCAAATGAAGCCTTAAATTCAGTTTGATCAACCGTGGGTCCTGTAAGGTGTTATAATGAGGTACATCAGGGCGCTAGCGAGCAGCTGAACAGCATGGACGCTTGCTAACTCGGCTCCGCACCACCCGGGCGTGTGACCGTTCATATACCGATCATCTCACCCCCCTTCCACTCCCAACCTTACCGCCAGTCTCCCCTGACCACCCGGCACCGCTATGGGGAAGAATCCTCCGCAGGCCCGCTCTCAGCAAAAGACGCCGGGCTCCTCAAAACCGCGGCCTGAGTCCAAGATGGCGACCGCTCCGTCCTCACCAGCCGGCCACTCGCCTGAACTGCTGGAGTCGGCGAATGACTCATCGAAATACAGCTTCCCCCTCCAACATCCAGAGCCACAGCAGGGGACTGAAGTCAGGGACGCAGCTCTCCTAGACAAATTCAAGCTGCTGCTGCAGAGAGAGCTGAAGACTGCCACTGATAAGCTGGCAGCACACCTATCCAAGGACATCAGAGCTGGGAACCAGAATCCACGACAAGGTAGATGACATTGTCACAGTGCTAGACTCCCATGAGGAGGACCTACACACTGTTAAATCAGACCTTGCCACTGCAATGCTTAAACTTGAGGACCTTGAAAACAGGAACCGCAGGGGTAATTACGCATTCGCGGTGTACCTGAGCACGTGGACGATTTACAATCCACCGTCACGGCCATGTTTCAAGAGATACTCCCAGGCTTCCCTATAGAACGCCTTGAGATGGACCGCGTACATCGCGCCCTAGGCCCAAAGCGGACAAACGGACCCCCACGCGACATTATACTTAAACCCACGTATTATAAAACGAAGGAGGCAATCGCTCAGGCAGCGTGGAAGCAACGCACCCTGCGTTTCCAGGACTTTGAATACCAAATTTACGCAGACCTGGCGCCACAGACCCTCCTGAAACGGAAAGCTTTGAGACCCTTCCTCATTATCCTGCAGCGCCATGCTATCACCTATAAATGGGGGTTTCTCTCCCGTTCATTGAAGGACACAGGGAACAGATCGGAGATCATGCTGAAGGCCACCTTCACCTACGAGGGCAAGGTGTACTCCTCCACCCCCGAGGAAGCAGGTCCTCTCCTGGAACAGCTACACATGTCGCCCGCGCCAACCTCAGACGTGGCCCCACCGACGTCCTCTCCACCGAAGGACGCCTGGCCCCCCTGTGGGAACGTCAACCCCGCAACACCCGAGATGCACCTGGGAAACTGCGCCCGCGACCTCGCCCTCGCCTGGACGACGGTGACTGACCAGAGACTCGGGGCCGATTCGCTCGAAGACACCAGGCCCTCCCCGACCAAAGGGTTGAGAAGCCAACCTTCCCCTGTTTTTTGGGACTACACCGACCACTATTTTGACTGCACCCATCAAGAAACTGGTTCCTGTGGTCCGTGAGTAAACCTGACCCCTGTATGCGGTTCTGGGACATACACCGGAGATGAGGTGCAGGGTTAGCCCTGTGAATACGAGGTTAGGTTTTTCTTTTTTGTTTTCTACCTAAGCTGCATCAACATACCTGCCTGTGTTCCACTCAATTTGTATCACACAGTGACAACTTTCCTACTCCCTTTTCACCCCCCCAAACACCCCCCTGGCCCCCCCTCCTAGAGATGATCACTTAACTAATGACTACACTACGTCCTGCCCTCCGCGCCCGGGTGGACAGGGCACCCCCACACCCCTTGAAA